CCAGGCCCCGTGAGGCCAGATCAACTGAAATCAATGATCAAGTCTTTCTCGCCCTTGCGGACTCCAATGGAAGTCTCAAGCACTATGTGACCCAAATAGGGCCCCGAGAAGCCCAAACAAGCCCGAGAGGGCTGCAAGATCTCACAAGAGAGCTAAGGAGGGCTCAAGGCGGCTCCCACGATTGCCTAGCAGCGGCCCGACAGCGGGAACCAGTAGGCGGCAGGCCCCAGGATGGCACGAATATGGCTTGAAGCCAGCCCCACGAGACCCCCAGATTACCCCAAGGCAACCCAATATATATTCCAAGAGAACCCAAGAAGCTGGCACTCCAATCAAAAGATCACGGTGGGCACCAGTGTGAGGGGATCAACAGCAATCATTCCTCAGGAAAGAGAGCTCAGCAACAAAGGCAAAACTTGCGAGGCGGGGATTTATCCACGCCTGGGAACCGACGTCCTGGTGCCCCAGCGAGCGGTGGATATGGATATATTTCGGCCCCCGGGGACCCGAATATGGCCATATCTACCGCCTGCCGAGGCTCCGAAAACTGACCCTCCAGGCGGTGGAGACGGATAAATTCCCGCCTCGGAGAACTCCCTCCTCGAACATCCACCCCCTTCATGCTGACACCGGCTAGTTTGCCCCCCGCTGGCGCACCTTCACTCCGGCGGCTCCGAGGAGCTCGAGACGGCGATGGGGCACCTGTCGCCGACCCCTCTCGAGCACACACACACACACCGCCCATCTAGGCCCGGCCTCCGCCGCGCCCGCGCGCGGAGCGCGCGGGAGGAGGAGGAGGAGGAGGAGGTGGAGGAGGAGAGGAAGAGGGGGAGGAGGAGGAGGAGGAGGAGGAGGAGGAGGAGGAGGAGGAGGAGGAGGAGGAGGAGGAGGAGGAGGAGGAGGAGGAGGAGGAGGAGGAGGAGGAGGGAGAAGCGAGGAGGAACGAGGAGGAGCAAGGAGAAGGTGGAGGAGCGAGGAAGAGGAGCGATGGAGAGCAGCGCTCGAGCGCTGGCCCGCCGATTCACACACATCTGCCCTGGCCCCCAGGCCTCTCAGCCTCCAGGCCTGAGCCCCCCAGTTCCCGCGGGGCCCCCGACAGGGCCACCCAGACACGGGGCCCCTTCGCCCTCTCGCGGCCCTCACGGGCACCGAGTCCCCTGGCTCCCTAGAGGCCCGCGCGCGTCCTGAGCCCCGACAGAGCCACCACGAAGCCCCCCTGAGCACCGCGATCGCCACTTCTCTCACGAGCTGGTCCCAACTCGTAGCATGTCCCCAACACCACCCTGCGATGGCGGAGCGGTGACGACGGCTTTTTGCTGAAGGTGGTGGAAGCGGGGCCGCAGCGCGTGCGGCCCTACCACTCCTGAGGATGTGTTACCCCAGGGTGGAGGGAGGGAGTCCCAAAACGGCCTGCCTTGGGCCGCGTGGCCACTACGAAGGCAGGACTGAAGGGGTACACACGAACGTGTCGAGACACGAGTGCCGTCCACACCGGGCGGCGAGGAGGGCCCGCTGCTGCCACTCGCCTCTCTCGGTCCTGCTGCTGGCCCTGGCTCCGCAGCCGATGATCGACGCCTGGCTCCAGGCTGCAACCCGGCGCTCGCCAAGCGGCGCCATGAAAACCGCCGCCGAGGCTCGCCCTCCCCGCCACGCACCCCGCTCTGGCCCGTGAGCATCGCTTCACCGATCCCCATCCCGGCTGACATGGCCTTGGCCCCACTGGCCGATCGCTCCCCCCCCCAAGATGGAAATGTGGGCTGCTCCCTTCGGGCTTCGAAGGTCTTATCCGCAACTGGGGGTGGGGGGGGCGTGATGGTGGAGCTGCGATACCGTGGCCCGATGGGGATGGGGACAAGCTCCAAGACCACGCTAGCGACGATGTTGGTCAACGGCCGGGGCTGGGAATCTGGCTTTGACGACGCCGAGCTCGCGCAGAACAGCCTGCAGGGCAGCACGAGCAGCGCCTTCCTGCAGCTGGGTCGGCCACCCCCACCTGCAGCACCGAGACCTACATCGCCGTTGCCTCCATCGCCGTTGGCGTGTCTACGGAGGTTCGACCAGCGCCGCGCTGCCCCCGCGGGCTCGGCCATCCTCCCGCTGGCCCGCGCGGCGCTCGGCGGGGCGGCCCGCGCGCGCGCTCGGCCTGCTGCCGCGGCGTGCCCCCGCCGACGGCTGCCAGGCCCCTCGGGCCGCATGCCCTGCGGTACCATGCGGCGGGCCCACCCTGGCGAGGGGCGAGAGGGGTGCCCTCCCGAGCAGAGGGGCTCGAGCCCAAGCGCTACGGGGCGAGGAGGAGGAGGAGGAGGAGGAGGAGGAGGAGGAGGAGGAGGAGTGATGGCAGGAGGGAGGAGCAGCAGTGGACTCAGGGGGCGGGGTCTCCTCGGCGGCAGCGCCCGCGGCGGGGCGCAGCGGGGGCCGAGGTCCTCAGATGACGGACTCGTGGAGGCCGAAGTCCACTTCGTGGGGCACAGCGGAGTCGGGGTCGATGAGAACGACGTTGTCGTGGCCGTCCGCGACGGCAGGGTCGGAAATGTCATTGTAGCCGTGGCCGTCGTGGACGGCAGGGTTGGAGGCTGCAGCCGTGGAAGCATCCAGTCCACGATGGGCAGCACGAATGTGAGGGCGGGCGGTCATTGCCGTCGCTCTGGCGACATTACCTCCCAGGTCGAGACGGTCCAGAGCAGCACGACGTGCTTGGGTGTGAACAGGGTAGCTTCTGCACCCACCGCCATGGGAGTTCTTCAAATCCAGGAACATGTATTAAGACAAACACAGTCGTCGAGTGGTGGACCATAACGATCTCTCATTCATGTCCTCCGAAGCATACGCGCCCTCGCCTCCTAGGCCCAGCCTCTCCAGGACCGTACCATGCGCAAACGAGCGAGGTAGGCACACATGATGTTGACGCCGTACACAAAGTAAATAATGTTGAATCGCAGCTTCAGCGTCGCAACCAAAGACACACTTGGCACGCTCTGGATGCACATGCGTACGCGAGGAGGTATGCCGTCCTCCGGCCAATGAGCGAACCACAATCCATCGCCCGGATGGACATACCCGCATCAGGAAGGCCCGCAATCGCAACCATCGTGAGCGTTAGCAGCGGGGCGTGACGCACTCACCGTACCACTTCATGAGGCGTTTGTGCATGGTCTGATGAAAGACAGGGAAGCGCAGGAGAGTGGCTTGACGAAGGAAGCTCCGTTGAGGATGTGGCCGTCGACCAGCCTGGAGAGCATCATGGGCATCCCTGCGGGCGATCGTCGCAGCTCTTGACACGGTATAGCTGGAGCTCAAGGACAGCATCGGCGCATTACCCTCGTTCAGGGCGGCATACCGCTGAACAATGGCCGTCGGTCCCTTCCAGAAGATAGGCGACCAGTGTCCCGACGCAAATGCGGGGAGGGGGCAGTGCTCCACCGCCACGGCGTCCAACAATTCCAGATAGCGCTGCCAGCCCTCAATCGTGTAATTGGCCATGCGCCACATCGTGGCAACGTTGTACAGCTTCAGAGAGGTCGGCGAGGGAGAGGTCATCTACGACGACATTGCGAAGACGTCCTGAAGCCTGAACGTATTTGGGGCATACGGAGGACACGGTGTAGCCCATGGATCTCGCGTCTCAATACTGCCTTGGGGAGCCAGAAGAACTGCGTGAGGTAGCTCAAGACCGTGATGCAGGAAGACTGATACAGGCGCGCCAGCGCGTCCGTTGGAGCTCCCGCCAAGGATAAAGCAAACAGGCGATCCCACCACTTCGGAGCCGCCTTCATCCACTGCATATCGTTGGTAGTGCCTGGTCCAAGATGCGCACCAAGATACACTCCAACATCCGCAATGTGGAAGTCCTGCCATGAGGGAATCTCCCGCCGAAGGAAGAGACGAAGTTCATTGCGGGCCCGATCATCTAATTCAGCCCACAGCGGGATGATGACACACTTGGAAGCGTTGATGGAGAGGTGGCCGTACATGTCCGCGTCGTGAAAGATCTGATGAATAGAGGGCAACAGTCGAAGGTGATTCAAATGAACACCTAGGTCATCAGCGCAGGCGGCTGCCGTGCCAAGCTGCTCGGTCGGGAGGACCTCGGCGACCACACGGAGAATGACATCCATAACAATGGCCCAGACTGTTCCAGAGATCGGGCATCCCTGCGCAACTCCAGAGCGCATGTTGCACACGAAACGGTAGTCCCCCTCCAGCGTGACCATGGCCTGCCCACCGCCGTAGAGGGCGCGAACCCCGTTGATAAAGCCGCCCTCGCAACGGAAGTTGTACAGCGCTGCGAATAGCCACTGGCGGCCTAGCGACGGAAAGGCCGCCGCGATGTCAAACAGGACCTGTACGGGGCAATTCGAGCTGGCTGAGGGCGACCATCCAGCCATGCGCCCCAGCGTGTCCGTAGTAACGATATTGTTGCAAAAGTTGCGGCCTCGAATGAACCCTTGCTGAATCATGTGTGCATGCTGCTCCACGGCGTATCTCATCTGCTCATTGAGGGACGCCGCGAAGATCTTGGAGTCGGTGTTCTTCCTGGAGATCGGACGAAGCGCGCCTGCCGCCCGTGTGCATGTCGTGTTATCCATCTCCTCGGAGCCCTTCGGGATGAAGGAGAACAGGGAATCGTTGAAAGAGAAGGGCGCCATACCAGTCTCCATCGCTTGCCACGCGACGTCCTCCAGCACGTCCAGCGCCCCTGGCGTCGAAGATCAGGCACGATATGGCAGGAGGGAGGAGGAGGACGATGAGCGAGGAGGAGAAGCGGGGAGGGGAGGAGGAGGAGTGAGGTGGTGGAGGAGGAAGATCGAGGAGGAGGAGGAGGAGGCGGAGGAGGAGGAGGGAGGAGGAAGGGGAAGGGGAGAATGAGAGGCAGGACTAGGAGGCGAAGGAGGAGGCCCGAGGGACGGAGGAACGGCGGGGAGCAGGAGGAGGCGCAGCGTTGAGGCGGAGGGATGAGGAGGGAAAGGTCAGCGCCAATTCGCACGCAAGGAGTAAGACGAGGGGAGGAAGGAGATCATGATACCCACGCGGCCACTGGCGAATCATCTTCGGGGCCTCGCAGCGGCCCCCTCGGCCCCGTGCGCACGCGCACAGGAGGAAGGATCGCAGCCTGGTAGGGCGGAACTTGGCACAGCCCATGGGCCACGATGGAAACGGACCCGCTTGGCGCGCCCACACTTCTTCGTCGCCTGTAGCTTTCAGTGCACATGCGCCCAGACTACAAGTGGAGAGAGCCGAAGCCAGCTCGCACGAGGGGAGGAAAAAGCAGAGATGAGGATGGAAAAGACGTTTTTGCCTGTGCGGCGCACGAGCAGCGGCACCTCACGGCACGCTCGAAGCGGCACGTGCTGCACGACATGCACGACACACTAGGCCACTAGGCGCAGCAAAGCGCGCGCTGCGCAAGACGCACGGCACGGCACTCCCGACCCAGCACTCAGCACGTACGCTTCGGCCCACATGGCACCACACGCATAAAACGTCGAGTATGGCGTGACACGCAATGCGTGGCACGAACGGTATGGCACGCGCGGAGCTGCACGCGCGGCTCAGCACGGCACAGCACCGTTCGCAAGATATAAAGCAGGCAAAGCCCGGTACGCGAGGTGCACCAGGGGACGGCACGCCTCGGTACACCCGGCACCCAGTTCGGGCTTCGAGTCGCACCTCTCGCGCGTTCATCTGCCTCCTCCGCCCGCTCTGCCTCCACGTCCTTCCGTTTGTACCTCGACTGGCACTGGGGAGACCGGGCTGAGCGAGGAGGATGCCCAGAAAAGGAGCAGCCGAGATATCGAGGCACAGCCAGAGACACGACCACGAGAGAGACTCGCCGAAGAGACCTGGACCCGCTCTCTGGCCAAATCTCGAGCAGACGCTGAGCCAGCGTTCCGCGAACAGCCCCAAGCATGTCTGGGGGAACTCGAGAATGGACAGGCGTCCTGCAAGATGCCCCGGCTTGAGCATCATCTTCGGGCTGGGGCCGAAAACTAGGCACATGTTGACCACGCACAAGGCTTCACCAGCACAACAAGCACTGCATGACCGGGTCGGAATTGTAGGGTGGGGTGCGGCTAGACCCGATGTTCGAAGAGGCGCGCTCACAAACTCGTTGGGGCCACGATTTACGTACTTGAGGTTTCACCAGCATGGCCGTACATCCCCTCAGTCCACCTTCCGCAGAAGCCTTTCACCTGCTGAGGCTTTGGCCGTCGTGCAACTCACCCCGCTCTCACGACACCCAGACCAAGGAAGAAGCGCGCCGACCCAAAAGATCATCACAGAACACCGAATCGCAGAATCCAATTGCTCGGATGGGCTGCTGACATTCCCCTGCTATATTTGATAGAACGACATGAGACAATCGGCATCGCTTTGCTTTGCAACCCGCTGGTACCGCCGACTCATCTTGGACAAACTGTCGTGCTTCTTTTGCAGTTTTCGCCGCCTCCTCGCATCCCTTGCCTGCTGCTTCGCCTCCTTCTTCGCACGTTTCCGCTCCTGGCAAAAGATAAGGGCAAAACCACATCATCCCCACGATAAGGAATGCCAAACTGATCAGCGTGTACACGCTTCACGGGCCGACCTCTACCGTTGCCTGCGGCTCCAGCCAGATATCCATCAAACGTTTGATGCAAAACTGCACATACCCATGTTATACATAGCGTTCGTCAAGGCAAAGATCAAACACCTTCTCTTTCAGCCCCGCCATGAACGATCTCGTACCGCACCAGAAATGGCGACACATCAACACACACACACACACAAACACACACTCATACTCATACTCAAGGCTGGATTCACATGTGGAACATAAGGAGGCCACGCGCTCGATACGCCTGCGACAAGCCGGCGCGCACCCGCCCTCCCCCACACACGCACACAAACGCAGACTCTCGTCCTCTTACGCACCAATGGGGTGCAATCGACGGTCGTAGATATGCTAACACGGAATGCGTTCAAGGTAAAGCGGGCACATCATGCGGGGACGCGCGCACAGCACACACACACACACACACACACACACACACGCACGCACACACACACACGCAGACACACAGACACACACACAGACACACACACACACACACACACACACACACACGCACGCACGCACGCACGCACGCACGCACGCACGCACACACACACACACACACGCGCGCGCGTACGTACACACACACACACACACACACACACACACGCACGCACAACACCCACACACACACACACACTTGCAAGTTGGCGGCGCAGAGAAACCTCAGGCGCGGTCGGCAGATGGAAGTACCCATCGCGAACGAACGTAGTCGAACGCGCCGTGGTGAAAGAAGCCACCCACGGCCATGCAGGCTGGTGGCGTCGGTGAAAAGATGAGGCACTGCAAAGCCAAAGTGCAGCGGCCAAGCATCCCGCGGAGCGTAGCTCGACGCCAGGAGTTGAAGCGCGGGCAGCAGCCTGGTGCTAATCTTGTCAGCGGCCAATCATCCCGCGGAGCGTGGCTCGACG